TGCTTCTCTTCCTCACTTATAGTCCTTGCCTCTAAAAATCTTCTTACTTCTTTATTTGAACCAAACACTCCAAACCAAATATGAAGGAAGATATAGAGCAGAGTGAGAACAGGTTACACGAAGAGATAAGAGCTCCTCTGATCACTCAAACATATAAAAGGGTAACAGAAGAACAGGCAGAGAATGGCTGCTATGAGAAGAAGCAAAACAGGTGCATGGTTTACCTCACCACATTTGTGGCTGTGTGTGGTTCCTTTGCATTTGGATCTTGTGTAAGTTCATCTCTCTGACTAGTTCATTCAAGGGTCTACTCTTGTTTTCTTAGTTTAAGTTCTATGCACTTGACGATGTAAATATTTGTACAATCAGATTACTCATAAGATAATATTTATGGCAAACATTAATTAATAACCTGATAAAAAATGGTCATTAATATGATTTAATAAGTTAAACTATGTCGATTGATAGTGTAAAAGAATCTTTGCAGTGTTAGTTAGTGTATATAACTTAAATCACTCGTTTTCTCCCTTCTCAAATGTGACGTTTCTCAACTTTTCAGGCTGGCTATTCATCACCAACACAATCAGCCATCAGAGAAGATCTCAATTTATCTATAGCAGAGGTAAGCAAGAAGTGTACATACTATCTACTTTTCTGGAAGGAGTGTACCTGTTTCTTTTATATACAGTAAAAACAAGGAAAAAAGCTAGCGCATAGAAACTTTGGCTGGCTTGTAAATTTCTATACAGATAATTACATGCCTGCAATTCTACAGTATACTTTCACTCAACGAGTATAACTTCTATACATTGACATTTAATCAATTTTTTAAACTATCAGGTTACCTAAAGGATAACTATAGGTAGTATGAAATTAGTAACGGGTAAAATAAGACAAGTAACCTACTATAATAGATTCAAGTATAGTGATAACAAGTAACCTACTATCAAGTATAGTGATAAGTGTAAATTATTTTTGCACTGTCAGTATATATAAGTTAAATCCTTCACTCATTCACTTGGTTAGATGAGCATTTTCTAGTTAGTCTGATCAAGAAAAGTTCAATATACTTGCAATTAGCCTAATAGTTATTCCATACAAATAAAAAACGAACTAGCATAAGACACAAATGTTTGTATGGACTTGTTAATTTTCTGGAAAACGTGGTTTTACTAGAGGAAAGAAAACTAACATGATGTCAAGAATCTACCTTGCTTAGAATACTTCAGTCCTTAATGGAATACCTTTCTTGTTATAAGAATATTTGGCATTCTTAGCCTGTGTTCTTGTATTAGACTTTACCTTAGATGTGTTCAACATTTGTACTATGCAGTTCTCGCTCTTTGGCTCAATATTGACATTTGGTGCGATGATTGGAGCAATCACAAGCGGTCCCATTGCTGATTATATTGGCCGTAAAGGGGTAAGCCTGGAGTATATTCTAAATACACCAGTATACACCTCCATATATCTTCTTTATTACAGCCTGATAATTATATGACTATGTGTAACATGCAAACAGGCAATGAGAATGTCAAGTGCTTTCTGTGTTGCTGGGTGGTTGGCCATTTACTTTGCTCAGGTTTATTACAAGTTCTCTTTTCCTATTCATGACACGGTATTGCTTCATAGGTCTTACAAACTGATAACTATCTTTTCCTCTTCAAAGGGAGCTCTTTCTCTGGACATTGGAAGATTGGCAACAGGATATGGAATGGGAGTTTATTCTTACGTGGTACATACTCTGTTTCCTAGAGATTTTATCAAAATATCCAACTATAGTGTGCTTTCAACTTTCTTGATTCCAACATTTCCCTGACAACTACAAATCAGGTGCCTGTATTTATAGCTGAAATTGCACCTAGAGATTTACGAGGAGCTTTGACAACCATAAACCAGGTAAAGAAGTACACTTTCTACCTGTGCTCCATACAGCAATTTTATAGTAGAATGCTTTTACTTGAAAATTTTCAATCTTAGTTATATAGATTTTTGATAACAGTGATGTTCTGGCCAACTTGTGCACCTCGACTAATTCTGTTTTTCAACTTCTTATCCTAAATGTAATAACCATTTTTAAATTGTTTTGGTCGCTAATCTTATCATATTATAGCTGAACTAATAACAGTACTCCAGTGCCAGTAAAACCTGCGCATTGTTTTTCTACAAGACTACTGCCCTTTAACTTTGTGTCCTAAGGTTATTGAAATGTAGGAGACACTATTTTAATATAGTATAACTAGGACTATTACTCCAACATTTTCTATTATTTATCGAGTAATGTATATCACCATTTCTTTAGTTCAGATAAACTGAAAACAACGTGGTTATTTCAGTCTTCACTAAAAAAAGAAAAGCTAAATAGGAAGAAACATACTATACTTTTACAGATTATAGAGTAGATGTTGTAGTTGGCTGTTGATTATCCTCCCTTGACAGTTTGTTACTTCTACACCTCCAGCTGATGATATGTTGTGGAGTCTCAGTTGCCTTCATTATAGGAACTATGCTGACATGGAGAGCTTTGGCATTAACAGGTTTGTTTTAGAATTAAGTTGTATTGTGAGATCTAGGAAGAGCTATCTGCTACTACAAGGAAAAGACACGCAAAAAGAAGAACAAAAGAAAAACTGAGAAATAACCACAATGAACAATGTATTCAAGTGCTAAGGGTTTGATTTTCTTTTTTCAGGATTAATTCCATGTGCTATTCTCCTTTTCGGTCTATTTATTATTCCAGAGTCTCCTAGGTGGTTGGTGAGTTACAATATTCAACGGCTAAGAGTTCATCCTGTCGGTAAAATCTAGAAAATGACATAACATTTCCATCAAATATGTAGGCAAAAATAGGACATCAAAAGGAGTTTGAACTTGCACTCCGCAGACTTAGAGGCAAAGATGCTGACATATCTGAGGAGGCAGCTGAAATCCAGGTTCATTATTCTGGGAAACTCAAATTTCAGTTTCTTTCATTCTTCGGAGGTTTCCTCAAAATACTCTCCTAATATTACTTATCTGATTTGCTTGACAGGATTATATAGAAACCCTTGAAAAGCTTCCCAAAGTCAACTTGTTTGATTTGTTTCAAAGAAGATACTTGAGCTCACTCATAGTAAAGTTCCTTTTCCACATATTGTTTTTCGACAACTTGGTAGCTGAAACTGTTAGTTAATTTATGTTTATGACAAACCAATGGCCAGGTAGGAGTTGGACTTATGGTGTTTCAACAGTTCGGTGGAATCAATGGAATCTGTTTCTACACCGGTAGCATATTTGAGTCCTCAGGTAGAAATCCCTCATTGTCAAATATCATCCTTTACACGACAAGAAATGTAGGACCTTCAACATTGTATAATCACCTAATGTGATAAGCAGATGAGGAAGATAATGTTTAGAACTTGAAACCTCACTAATCTCCTTAGCCTACTTTCTTCGCCATTTGTATCTATAGTCCCAATTTAAGATTGAAGGCCTGTAAAATATGACATCTCATTTCATTTCCCTTCAGCTCAAGAATTTAAAGCAAAGAACTGTGTTAAACCATAAAGTTATTTGTTCTTTAACTGTATTCCTTTTCCAGGGTTCCCCTCTGATGTCGGAACTATAATCTATGCAATTATACAGGTTTCAACTCTTACCCTCTCAGTTCTATGGATGTTAGATATCTTCCTCCTAAGGTCTGGTGTTATAATGGATCATTCACTTTACTTTATTTTCTTCATCAGGTTCCCATCACCGCATTGGGTGCAGTCTTAATTGACAGAGCTGGAAGAAAGCCTCTTTTATTGGTAAATCTCGGAAAAGAAATCCATTTTCTTTAGGATATTACCCGTTGCATTCACCAAATATAATGATAACCATATCTTTGCAGGTTTCTGCAACAGGACTTGTCATAGGCTGTATACTAACAGGAACCTCATTCTATCTGAAGGTTAACATTAAAACCTGAACTGCTTAAAATTCTTAGCATGTCTCTTGAACATTTTGACCAAAATATTTATTATTTGACCAGGGACATGAAATTGCAGTAAAGGAAGCACCAATACTTGCCGTAACAGGCATACTGGTACCATCACTATCCCTTCTGATTGTCCTCTTCATAGTAGCTTACCCCGATCCCCACTCTCCCTCAACCATGTGGAAAAAGTGGAGGTTTTCCTTCCGGTTTATATAATAATCATTCTCAAATGCAGGTCTATATCGGGTCCTTTTCAATAGGAATGGGAGCAGTTCCCTGGGTTGTAATGTCGGAGGTATGTAAAATCTGTACTATCCTCTATTATTAACATTTGAGACATGTCGAGCCTAAGAATTACCTTTCATGCAGATATATCCTATAAATATTAAAGGGGCTGCGGGGAGCCTTGCAACACTAGTGAATTGGTTTGGGGCATGGGCATGCTCTTACACTTTCAACTTCCTCATGACCTGGAACTCTTTTGGTAAGCGGTTGCCACAAATATCATCTCAGGAGTAATGCAAAAATGAGTATCATGCAAAAAAGATAGAAAAAAAAAAAGTGCCTAAGGAACCTATATTGGAAATTAGTTTTGCAACTTGCAAGCAAATTTGATTGAAGATAGGGTTTGGCGGGTAAGTCCATTTATCCATCATGGTTAACATTGATTGACAGAAGAAAGGAGAAACTAATAACAAGGGAGGGGTATAAACTGTTTACTGCATATCAAGACAGCTAAAGGTTAGATATGTATGCTCACATTAGTTTCACTGGTTGCAGGTACTTTCATTCTTTATGCTGCAGTCAATGCACTCTCAATTTTGTTTGTGATCAAGATAGTACCTGAAACCAAAGGAAGAACTTTGGAACAAATCCAGGCTTCTATTAATGCATCATAAAATACCTCAGCACTTGGTTCGTCCTTCCTACTGATAACTATCAAATGGCCAGAGAGATGTCAGGACGCACGCTGCTGGTTGAAACTACATTCTCATACTCATCCTGGATTTTCCAAAGATTTAAAATGTTTGACTATTTGTTGCATAGTGGACCATGCCCCTATTCTCCATTCGTTTAAGGTATGAATACCGTATTAGGATAAAATGATTACAATAACGTGTTCCAGTACCCTTTTCTATCTTTCTTTTTTCCTTTTTTTTCTGAGTATCATTCAGCTAGTCAAGAAAAGTCTTCCCAAGATGTGGGATCACATTTTTGAACTGTACTCATTTATTTATCTATCTTTCAAGAACCCTAGTTTTCTCCTCACTTTTTTCTTAATTACTTGGGAATCTTTGAGAAATTCAGGTGTGTCTTCACAAACCTAATGCCTTATTTTATCAGTGTTTCCTCAGTCTACAGCAGATTAATATGCAACCGACGAACCTTACAAAATTGATGAAAATCATGAAAAGAACAAAGATATTAATGTGCACGAGCTACACAATATAGATGAAGGGTGATAAGTCTAAGGGAGGTCAAAGAAAATCCCTACCAGATTAGTGCATCAAAGGAGGGCAGCTTAAAAACTAAAGAGATTATCTAGCAACTCTGCGAGACCTTTCTAGAATAGAATTAATTTGCCTAATCCATCATTAACCAATTGCTGTTCTCTGAAGAAGACCCTTCAACTGTGACAGCTTTTGAGAGGTTGTTTAATGCTATGTGGACTAGGGCTTAATATAATTAAGTCCTCACTCCTCCAAGTTTCTGTCCTATAAATAAAGGAAGTGATGCAGATATTCAGCTGATACAATCTGAGAATAATATTGGTTTCACAATATAAGAATACACACAATATATAGATAACAAGCAGGGAAAGATCTACACTGCAAACTGCTTAAAAGCAGAAATGTCTATCAAATCAACAATCTTTTAAAACTCTTAGCATCTTTAGTGGCTGATCGATGTTAGATGGTGCTGTGATTTCAAAAGCGAAGTACAGTAACTCATAAAAAAGCTCAATTTTACCTATAAAATTAATTGCTAACTATATTACATCAACCTTACATTTACCCTAACAAACCTTGTTGAAGTGCGAAAGAGGTATGGTTACGTCATGCGAATTCTTCAAAATATACTAAAGACTTGCAACAGAACTGAACTTTGTCTTGATTACCTCAATTTTACTGCCCTAGGAAGATTAAATGCTTCCATTTCTGTAGCTGGAAGTCCTTCAGGAAATTTAAATAAGAAAAATTGATTATATGAGAGTGATACAGAAATTTAACGTCAAAGAGATCATAGCAGAAGTTAGAGCATTACCTATTCTTATGACTTTGAAATTCAAACTCCCTCTTAGTTAATTGGATCCTGATAATCAATTTGATAAACAGACATTATCGGTTTTACGCTCAAGAGAGACATTATCATCCATTTCGCTACTCCATTTCATATATCTTTTTCTCCCAAGTACTATTTTATTTATACTTTCTCGAATGTGGCCGACTATGTTGTATAGAGCTTGTTCAGTCAAGAAATCTCATGTCCAGAAGATGAAACTAGCAGAGATGAGGATGTTGATATGGGTGAGCATACTAAGAAAGACCGGATTAGGAATGAAGTTATTAGGTACAAGGTGGGTGCGGCCTTTGTGGAAGACAAGTTGCAGGAATCGAGGCTGAGATGGAGAGACACTGATGCCCCAGTGAGGAGATGTGAGAGGTTGATCATGGTGGGTCAGAAGAGAGGTAGAGGAAGGCCTAAGCAATACTGGGGAGAGGTGATTAGGCATGATATGACACGACTTCAGCTTACCGAGGACATGACCCTCGATAGGAATGTGTGAAGGATTAGGGTTGTGGGTTGACAGGTAGTCGAGAGTCACTTCTAGTCGTACTAGTAGTATTTGTACTAGTCTGGTATTCTCACATTCCTAGTTCCTTGTTGTTAGACGATGTGGCATTATTACCGGTAGTTTTCGCACTTCTCTTCTAGCTAGGGCTGCTTATCGGGCGGATTGAGCGGTTAATTACTCTTAACGGTTTGGCTTAACGGTTATCGGCTTTTAAATGTATTAATCCGCTAGCCATCCGATAAAATATCGGGCGGATTGGTATCGGTTTAGCTCTTATCGGGCGGCTTATCGGCCTAATTCAATCTATATTGCGTGCATTAATTGTGTGATGACCGCCTAGCATACAAATTCAGAATAGAAAATTACACATTGAGTCCAGACATACATGTCTGTTAACGCCTACATAAGAATGATGTAGTGTGTCGTGTGTTGTAGAACGAAAAAAGCAGAACACATTGTAGGCTACATTACATCCCAAAGCAGACTACATATGAGTCCAGACATACATGTCTGTTAATACCTACCATTAAATCCCAAAGCAGACTACATTACATGAGTCTAGAATACATATTTCAAAATGATTAATCCATAAATGAGGAGACTACACATAAATGTTTGGCCTGCAGTTAACGCCTAACAGTGCTTGAATTTCTGCAACTTCAAAGTTCAAACAACAACTTCAAATTTCTAACTTAAACTCTCAACCAAGCATTTCACGCTATATCATTAACCATACAAACAGCACCAAGCAAAAGGCAGTTATGTATAGAAATAGGGATGGATTATAAACAGTAAACAATTTACAGGAAACGCAAATGTGCTCTTTCCCCAGAACATAATTCAAGACAGTACTATCGTCAATATTGTGGGATAAAAGTTGTGGCACAACACTGTTATTCTTCTATTAAACATAGACCACATGCATTAGTTTAAGAAAACAAAAGTAGTGGTGAACCATAGACAANTCTTAACGGGTTAACGGATTATCCGTTAAGAAAATTGAATAATCCGCCCCCAAACCGATATGCCGTTAATAAAAAAATTTTAATCCGTTCCCCGTCCGTTAAACCGTTAACCCGATACCAATAAGCCATTAAGCTTCGGTTTCGGTTCGGTTTTCGATTTTGAACACCCCTACTTCTAGCTTCGCATTCCTAGATCTTTGGCAGTACGTGCTGTGCTATTTGTTTCCGATAGTCTATCGAAAACAACATCTCTTTCTTCATAAAGTAAGGGTAAGGTCTGCGTATAGAATTTCACTGAATTTGTTGTTATTGTTGTTGTTGTTGTTGTACTTTCTCGAATGACCGGTTCGAAGAATAAAATAAGACATCTATTTTCCATATGAATTAGACAATGGATTATTAAATTCTTTTTTACAAAACTTATATATTTACGATTAAACAAAAATACTAATGAATTATACTAACTTTTATATTTTATTCAATATTGTAACTTTTATATATATAGCCGGAGGCCGGATCCAATGTTGGTTTCAGCGATTTATAAAATTATTTCAGTTGTCACGGTTGAAAACTCAAGGGTCATTCGTTTGTGTTCTCCCTACTGCTACAGCAAATTTTAATTTCTTCTTTCATTTTGTAGATATTTTAAAGAGAAAACTTTAATCTGTTTTTGTTATGGTTAAAAATATTTGAAAAAGTTTATTTGATGATGGTGATGATGTCATAAAACACATGGAGTGTCAGATTAGTAAAACGGAGTGAAGTTACTTGGTAGGATTGGTAGAAGAGGGAAGAATTTGGTAGGATTGAAATTCTGTACTTTGTCATAGGGAGGCTGCAACTAGGTTCTATGTTGGATAATTAAAATATTTCTTCTTAATTCAAATTCAATCTCAAAATAAGGTCCCTCTTTTTTCAGGAAAAAATTATGGCTACTAATAGTCTTTAGGTAATGGTGCATGCTAAGAATTGTAGTAGCTAATTTATGCGATGTATCAACTTGAGAGATTCCATTTATTTAACTTTCTCTCCCGCACATGTCAAACAATAACAAGATAAAGCAAGCTACACTTTGCCTCGGTTAATACAGATGAATTTACTCCAAGTATAATTTTTATTCCAATAGGAGTCGTTCGGTAAAAAAAAAATTAACTGTATCAAATATTTACATAAAATAAATAAATACATAATACGTATTTGCACATTTAGGGGCGGAGCCACAATGGTATCGATAGAACCCAATAATTTTGGCTTAAACCCTATATTTATGTTAACTTTTTTATTTACGATGTGTACAAACTATTTAGAACCCAGTAAACAAATGAATTTTGGTCTAAACCCCATAAACTAAAAAAACTAGCTTAGCTTATGTGCACATTCACTTTTATCACTTAAACTATGGTTAATTAATGCATACTTTTACTTCATTAAATCACTTGACTATGATAAGTTGAACTAGTTTCAGTACGATAAATTATGCATCAAATAAAAAGACATGTCAAATATATTGTGTACGGTCAAAACCGGTTCTCAGTCATAAAGACTGGTCGAGACAATGACGTTTCAATCGTAGGGTATCCACGCGACAAGCTCGGACGAATTCCGAAGTAGGGGCGTCGAGCTTCGAACTATAAGACAAATCGACGGCAAAGCCCGTGTCCGAATCGGACTACGGGGCAACACTGATCGACACAGGCCCCGAATATCGATGCCCCAAGGCAGAATCGAGCTCGAACCAAGACTGGGGGTTCGATCTAACACCGAGCTCGAGCCAGTGCTAAGCTCGCAAACAAGAGCCGTTACAACCGCACCGAGGGAGAGAATCTTGGCGGGAACCAAGGCAGAGACAAACCATCATGGGTCCTCCACTATATGTATTATTTTATTATGTTGTTACAAATAAAGTAGTGACCCTCTACTATAAAAAGGAAGATAGACTGCAATAGGCAAGGGAGGGAGATTTCATGGTGCTTGTTCTTCTAATATTTTTCAATCTTCCCGTCCATCATTTCCCATTTCATAGCAAAAAATATCTGTATCGTCATTTTGTATCAAAGAAATTTGCATACCCTTAGAACCATATCTAAATTTAACGTTATCCGATTTTTCGGGTAAACAGTTTGGCGCCCACCGTGGGGCTAAGGGTAACAGCGATTGTTTGATATAAATCTACAGTACACTCCAGCTTACAACTTCAAATCAGCCATGACTCTACCTATCGACCTCGAAGCCGGCCTTCAAGATGAAACCAACAACTTGGTGCCCGGGGCCGGAAGGCTACCTGACAACGGTAACGAGGCTCGAATCGAAGAGCCCGAAATTCGAGCCGAAGTACAATGAATATCAATTTGCAAATAGCTCTAGAGGTGAATCAGCGTTCTGAACCAGAGAGGAGCGTTCAGGGCGGTGCTCGGTCTATAGCCCGAGACACCTACAGCACGGGAGAAATCGGGGTCAACTTGCATATAATTTTCGAAATGTTGCAAGCCCAACAAGCAGCGATAGCTCAGTTGCAGAGCCGAACTCATACGCAAAGCGGGCCGAACTCCAATCCGCTTCTTCGAGAAGTCACCCCCAGAACGGAACCCGCCGTAGTGAAATCAAACGAGCAGGAATCGAGGACTGCTCCTGAAATTGCTAAATTGCTCGAGGAACTCACAAAGCGAGTCGAAGCCAACGACAAAAAAATAGAAATATATAATTACAGGGTCGACCAGATCCCAGGGGCTCCACCAATGATAAAAGGGCTAGATTCGAAAAAATTCATTCAAAAGCCTTTTCCCTCGAGTGCAGCCCCAAAACCAATCCCAAAAAAATTCCGTATGCCCGAAATACCCAAATATAACGGAACGAAAGACCCCAACGAGCACGTCACTTCTTACACGTGTGCCGTCAAGGGCAATGATTTGGAAGATGATGAGATCGAATCTGTATTATTAAAAAAATTTGGTGAAACCCTGTCAAAGGGGGCAATGATATGGTATCATAATTTACCATCTAACTCCATTTATTCTTTTACTATGCTTGCAGATTGCTTCATAAAAGCTCATGCCGGAGCCATAAAGGTCGAAACCAGAAAGTCGGACCTGTTCAAGATAATACAAAAGGATAACGAGATGTTAAGGGAGTTCGTAGCTCGTTTTCAAATGGAACGAATGGATCTGCCACCAGTCACAGACGATTGGGTTGTTCAAGCTTTCACTCAAGGTCTAAATGAGCAGAGTTCGAGGGCTTCACGGCGGCTGAAGCAAAATCTGATCGAGTACCCAGCTATTGCTTGGACCGATGTGCACAATTGATATCAATCCAAAATAAGAGTCGAAGATGACCAGTTGACTTCTAGGTCCATTACGAAAAATCAAAAGTCAACCAAAGATCGATACCAGCCATATAGTGGAAACGATACTACTGTTGAGTATCCGGGGCCTCTTTAAAATCAACCTCGTACACAGGGGGGCTTTATCATTTAACGCATCTGTGACGATTATCAAGTTCGGTGCAAAGGAAGTTACTTCGTTATTTCATGACAAAGTGTCTTAACGAAAAACGTTGTAAGGGCCAAACGGTCAAAACGAACCATGCTTATATTGTTGGCCCGAGCCCTGATGTAAAAC